CGACAACATTTTTTGAATTGACTGTATACTAAATACGTTTATGAACATAAACTTCTCAGAAAAATTTTCTCTGCAAGCCTAGGAATTAAAACCCAGAGCTATGATTTATGTTTGTTTAGATAAAAAAAGTTAAAAAAAAAGAATAAAAAAGTAGGAAAATTAATGAACTAAAAAATAAAATGATATGGGAAAAGAATGTCAACATGTACTTTAGGAAAATCCTAGCTGTGGTTAATTTTGCCTATTAAGAAATAACAAGAGTGGTTTGCTATGGTTTGTATCAGCTAGAGACTAAATATCTTATTTCCTTATAAATTTAGGCTTTATTTGCAAGGTTGTAATCTTATCTCAGGAAATGGTTTAAAGCTGGTAAGTAAACTGAATTGTCTTTTTTTTTTCTGCATGGACAGAAACACACATCAGGAATTTTTCACTATACTTTAGCTTCTTTAATAAATACCTACTTATTATTATTTTTTGTTGTCTCAAGGTCCCACTAGGTTGCCCAAAGCTTGAACGCCTTGACATTAGTTACTGCTACAGAGTTATGCAAGATGGCTTTTCCTTCCTGCCAAAAGAGGCTTTCCCAGATACTCTTGTTGAATTGAGTGTCTATGGAGTACAGCTATCAGGGGTCCTTATCACTTCTCTTGTTAAGCGCTTAACTCACATTAAAACAATGAGGCTATGTGGGATTCAAGCTGTTACTGATGATGTCCTTGAAAGTGTGAGTTGTTGAACATAGATGTTAATGAAGACCCATGTCATTAGAGTTGCCCCTATGCCCAAGAAAGTTTCTTGAGCAATCTATCTGATTATACTTTGTGAAACCTTCAGCATTGATCATTAATAGATAATTACTGAGGCACGCAGCATTCGTAGGTATAATGCAGGCAGCTGAGGGCGTGCCGAAGTGATTATCTATAATAATTATTGTTCTTATCAAAATCCAATTGTTTTCTTTCTAGCTTGTTTATCATAGAAACAAAGCCAATAATGAATGTCTGATTTTCCTCTATGCATTTGTTGGGATAATGCAGACTGAAAACAATGGATTTTGATAAAATCAGTAATTATTCATGAATAATGCAATGGTCAAGTGTTATTTTGAACAAGATTTACTTAATGCATTGTTTCCTTTGGTCCTTTGGGGATTCCTAGATACAATATATATATTCCGCAAAGTAACTTGTCAGATAACCTGCTACATAGAATATTATCAACTGTGGGGGAAAAATTATGTAGTTATTTCATGTAGTGGTATATGCCCCTTGATCTCAAAAATCAACCATTAGCAACAACCTGCATTATTATGAGTTATGGCTGTATGTATACAAAGGATATTAGGAAGATAATCTATATGATTTTCTGTTTTATATTGTCATTAGGTTTGTGTAAGTGCTGGGAAGACATTAGTAGAGCTGGACCTCAGTGCATGTACAGCAATCACTGACTGTGGTCTTTCATCTATTCGTCGGCACTGCAGAGTTCTTGAGTCACTTATGATGGATTTCAGTCATAATGTGACTGGAAAAACACTGGAACCATTATTTAATGACCCAAAACGTGCAAGTGAGATAAGAGAGATAGGCTTCAGTGGCTGTAAAAATGTAAGCATCTTAAATATATGACTTATTAAATTTTTGGCTGTGTTTTCACTAGGACAATTTAAACTAGCTTAGATATAACACCAGAAATAAGGCAAAGTTAAACTACCTAGCAAGATGGTTTAAGTTGTCCTACCAAGTAAATTGGCCAATCACAGTGTTATTCTTGAAAGGTGATGTCGGATTAAAACACCTTCAGGAATTTTAGGCAAGTTAACATTTCTAGTGAAAACACAGCCTTTATGTTTAATTCCACATCTACATAAAATACTTGTTTCTGATTGGCTGTTAACTTTTTTTTCTTCGTCCGTGCAATAGACCAGTTTCGAATTCCAATTTACCGCTGTGTTCCTTGATTACAGACTCATTTGCACAGGGTTAGCCTCGTATCGGTGTTTAAATATTCACAAATACCAACGGTAAAGTAAAGAATGCACAACTTCAACAATACAAACACTTTGAAACTTGACGGACCTTGACTGGAACACGTGAATATTCTGCACGAACTCAAGCCTAACCCTGTGCAAATGAGTCTGTAATCAAGAAATACATCGGTAATTTGGAATTCGAAACAGGTCTATTTCTACTCTTAATCATGGTATTAAGCCACTTTCATCAAATGCACAATGGTATTTTTTATTAGTTCTTGAATGGTGTTATTTATTTATTTATTTATATATTTATTCATTTATTTATTTATTTAGCTTTGCCATTCAAACACTCACACATGAACCCACTCACACATACACACACACGAGAATAATTACATACATACATACATAATGGCTGGGAAACCACTACATTTCTTATACTAATATCTGTTATTTATAATAGAAATAGAAATTGTACCATTGATATATCATATAAGGAGGTCACTAGATATAATTTTATACCATGTGGTGTTGAAGTAAATGTTATTTTATTTCAATCCTAGTTTTCAGAAGACACCATTCGTCTAATTGTGATGTCCTGCCCTAACCTAGAGATGCTACTTGTAGCTGGAATCAAGAATGTAGATGATGAGCTCCTAATGTCTATGGCTAGGAATTGCACTAAGCTCGTAAAAGTTAATCTTAAAGGCTGCGAACAGGTGAGACATTAATAAAAAGAAAGAATAAGTGGAAACAAAAGAAATAAAATGTACAACCCCAAAATCAGTGTCGGTAGGGTGTTGGTAGCCAGGTAATATAAAATGTATGATTAGTGATTGCATGCACAATCAGCACGCCATCATACAGTCATACCGATTTAGGTAACTGAGACAATGAGTGATGGCATTAGGGATTTTTTTCAGGAAAGTAATGATAAAAAGAATTATTAATTGTTATTTCTTTTGAAGGTTACAGACAATGGTATATGTGAACTGGTTCGGTTTTGTCCTATCTCATGTATCGTTGTATCAGGCATACACAGTCTGACAGACAAGTCAGTATTTGCCCTCACAAACAGCTGTACCTCAACGTTAAAGGAGGTCTATGCTTCTGCCTGCAGTAAAATCACTATTCAAGCTATCAATTACCTCAAGGTAAATCAGTGCTTAATAAATAAGTTAATGAACTCAGAGGCATCATTGATTGAGAGTAGCAGTGTGTCAGATTGTCTTTAGCAAGGTTTATTTAACATAGTAGTGAAAAAATTGAATAGAAATTTGTTTTTCTAGGATTGTTGCCTAAGACGCATTTATGTGGAGCACCGTACACCTAACCTTGACCCCGATCAACTAATGGCCAAGAATCTAGACACTGGGGAATTCTGTCGTGCAGATCTTCTCGTTCAAGCTCATGCAACTACTTTTCCAGAATCTTTACGACATGAAACAACTATTGAATCTGATTTCTTACATCGGCTGATGTCAGTGGGACTTAGGTAGATAGGAATGAAATATTTTGATGTGTGGAAAATGTGCAAAATTTGTGCAAAAAATATTTACGAACCGTTAAGGAAGCATGGCTAGCCTGTATAAATTACTGGTTCCTGTCATAAACCATCCCAAACTAAATATACTACTAAGAGCTGGATAAGCCCATACAGCCCACAATAAACACCCGGTAATAAGTGATATTGCCAGCTTTAGGTTGGAATATATAAATGGATATTGCAGTAATTTAAAAGGCACACTTGTCAAAAAAGAAGAGACAAGTGCATGTGACATCTCACATTCCCAATTGTTAAAATATAGTTGAATTATTGAGTTAATGACTATGGTTTAAAGTAGTTTCTAAGCTGTTCTGGTTTGCTGTATATACTTTATGCAGAACAAGCAACTAACAGAGTTAATGTTAATCAGAGTTAATCATACTACGTCAATTCTTGTGAAAACGTTCTCATGCATAGTTTTCTCAAAGTTCTTGAAAACGGAGTTTGTGCTTTTTAAATGTAAAATTTTAAATAAAGAACAAGTTAATGTAAAGTACGATTTCTTTGTGCAAATACTATAATAAAAAGTACAAATAAGCACTTTTTTCAGCTTTTTCATCCCATTCATTCTGTTCTTGCTGCTGTGAGCATGTCCGAGTTAGAGTTTTGTGAAGTGGGCTTCCTTTGCTTTCTCAGAATACACAGGTAGCCCAGCATAGAATAACGTGTACAAATCAAAATGGCGGCTAGACCTGAGTCACGTTTGGATGGCGACGCCGCGCCATCTTTTACGGACTTAAACAACTTAGCTGCTGCTGAGGTGAGGTTTATTGCCATACAGAAGTAAGGTTAAACTACTGTAACAACCTTAGGGGGAAATCAAGACCAGATCTCTGAAATATAAGCTGAAAAATATTGTTATATAGCCTTGTTATTTCTTCAGGTTGGCGGTGACGTTGTCTTTGCCACAGATGACTGGTTTGCAATATCTGTCAACATGCTAAAGGTTTGCAGCTTGACTAATAAGATCTTAATCATTTCATATTAAAAATTATAATGATAAATACAGGTTGCTTGAATTTAAATGCAGGCCTGTTAATGTGGGGGAGACCCCCTGAGTATATGCACCCCTTAACTCCTCCCTCGCATGATTTTTCTTTCTTTGGGAGGCCATTCCAAAACTAGACTATGAACTTGGAACGCAATATTTTTCATCTAACTGAGGAATATACCAGTAACTTGGTTTTGTTGACTTTTTTTAACTTCACAAATAGTCCGATCCACCAGAGTGGAGAGAAGGGGTCTTCACAGCCTCTGGAAAGTGGATGGATGGATGGGAAACAAGAAGGAAAAGGATTGCACATCATGATTGGTGTATCATCAAGTTGGGTATTCCAGGAATCATCAAGGGCTTGGATATTGATACTTCGTATTTTACTGGGAATTATCCTCCAAGAGCGTCAATCCAGGCAGCTTGTTTACCCGAAGGTAGAATTATGAACACTTCATTTCCAGCTGTTTGTTAAACAATCGACTGTTTGCATGATGGCATCGTTATACTGTACTTACCAACCACTGTATGCACTTTGTATATTTTCCTACTTACAGTAGATTCAGGTTGAGCGTTTAGAAAAGTCTGACATTCTGAATGAGGAGTACAAATTTAACCATCACAACAAGCATGACAAAAAGTGCCATTTAACGCTCAACCTGTATCTCTTGTATTTACATTTTCATGTTTTTTACATGAAAATAGATGTGGAATTTCCAGAGTATGCAAAAGAATTAGGATCCTGTGCAACATTAGATCAGATGGAAGAAATAAAAACAATAAAATCAGAGGTAAAACCTTAATTATACTTCTTGTGCACATGAGAGGAACATTGGACAAGGTTTGAATCTTTCAGTGCTTTGGTAGTTAAATTTTTACTTTAACATTTTAGGAATGGACAGAAATATTGCCAAGAAGTAATCTTAAACCTGGATATAAAGACACATGTCACAACTATTTTCCAGTTAATTCAGAAACAAGATTCACACATCTGAGGTTGAACCTGTTTCCTGGTTAGTGTCATTTTTTCTCTCCCTCTACAATTTTCCTTTTCTCCCACTCTCCGCTTTTTTTCTCTCCTTTTTTTTACACTATTCATCAATTTTCTCCAACCAGTCTTGGCTCAAAAATAGAATATTTTTGATATACTGTAGCAGACTGGTTGTTAAATTTGTAGATGGTGGAATGGCAAGACTCAAGGTCTATGGGTATGCTCTAAAGGATTGGAGCAAGATCTCCCCAGACAAGGTAAAAGAATTCATCTCATAAAAGTGAAAAACAGTTGCACTTATAAAAGTCAAAAGGTTTTATATAGTCTTAACAAACAAACAATGAATAATTCATGAGGAAAACACAGTAGAAATCATGGGCATGAAGAGCATTCATTTGCACAAGGGCGGATCCAGGGGGAGGGTTGGGGGGGTCGCGACCCCCCTGTCATTCCTGAGGTCAAATGGGCTTCTTGTGGTAAAAATGGGACTGGGATTCCTTTGCCCACAAAATTTACCCCTGAGACCCCCCTTCAAAAAAACCCTGGATCCGCCCTTGTTGCATGATCTTTAACTTGGATTTTCATGGGCAGATCAACTTTTATCTTGAAAATTTTAGTGAAACACAAAAGAATTAACCTAGACATTTGTCAAGCAATATATGTTATTCATATCCGCTTACGCTCAAAGTTTATATATCATATGCAACATGCAGGCCACTCATACTTTATATTTACATAATGCTTTTGCCTCTGGAGTCTTGTTTGATTACCGAACTCTGTATGATGTCTGTTGGATTTTACCCTTGATTCAAGGGTGTTTCAGTTTTTCTCAGGCCTCCACTAAACTTGAACCACTGTGAGTTACCCAAGTCCTTCCTTATATTACCCCAGATGTTGTTTAACCCTTTTTTAAAAATTGATAATCATGGTAATGACCTGACTTTTCTTGTTGTTCTCTTCAAAAGATGATCGACTTGGCAGCCATGCTAAATGGAGGAATAGCCTTATCTTGGAGTAACAAACATTATGGTCACCCTAGAAACCTGGTAGCTCCAGGAAGAGCTCCAAACATGGGAAGTGGATGGGAAACAGCCAGACGACTTGATAGACCACCAATTCTACAGTACAGGAAAGATGGATGCATTGATTTTCAAGGTAGGAATTTGTAGAAGATTGCTGAGAAAACATTTCTCACTACATTGTATGTCAGTGCCAGTATGACCCACCTACTAAGTCAGTAAGGATGGACCATTTTTCATTAACATTTAAATAATTATTACTCCAGGTCACGAATGGGCAATCCTAAAGCTTGGTCACCCAGGAATTGTAAAGAAGGTAATTAAAAATAGTCATATGGCTGCATTTTGTTATTGTTTTAGCTGTTTTTTTGTGTAACACCTTCCTCCAAGATACCCTAACCTTGCGTCACTGTCAATGACAATCAATAATACATACATGGTTTGTTTAAGGCACAAAATAAGAAGTTACATGGATATTTAAAAAAAATAAAATCAAGCACAAGCAAAACATTACACTTGAGCAACACAAGCAAGTAATAAGCATCTTGAATAGGAAGTAATGAGGTTATCCCTATCTAAAAATTCCCCGAATACTGGATTTTTGTGTTACAAATGATTGGGTTATAATATAACTTGGATTCCTACTGCAGAGGAATATTTTATATTCTTCTGCAGTAGGGATCCAAGTCTATTGCTTAGTTCATGCTATTCATTTCCTTGTTTTACAGATTGAAGTTGACACTAATCATTTTAAAGGAAACTTCCCTGACTCCTGTATTATTGAAGGTACACTACTGTTGTGTAGTTTTGGTATGACTGTTAAAAGCTTGGTGCTGTATGTATGCCTTGTGATGTTTTCTAGAATTTTGGTTGGCTGTTTTTGTTCTTGCAAAATTAGATGGTCTGGCAGTGTCATGACCTTATCAGAATCATGTCCCTTCTGTGTTGATGCCTTTTTTCAGGTATTTGATTGAATGAAGAGTACGTTCTCTCAATTTGTGATTCATCTCACATATGCCTTGGCATGTCATGACTATGTTTGTGCCGTGAGAAAATTTCACAGTGAAACAAAGACTGTCTATTCCAAGTCATGGTTTTAAAAATGTTTGGAGGTACTCAAAAATTTGTAAAAGTGATAAAAATTGGAATGGAATGTGATACATTTTGTCAGAGGTTTTCTAATGAATGGTGTTCCTACACATGTCCCTTTGATGCAGCTCATTTTGATTTTTCATATTATAAGGATGTGCAATGGATGCTGAGACTGAGAATGTGTTTTCAAGTAGTCCAGAACATGTGAATTTACCTTGGAAAATGCTCTTGCCATCAAGCAAAGTAAGTTACAAAATCATAGTTTGTAGATCAATCTCTCTTATGTCCATCCCCTCCCCCAGGGTACTTACCTAGGGGCAATCAATGTCACCGACAATCATTCGTCATCATTCTGTCCTTTCTTTATCGAGCCTTCTGTAGTTTTCCACCCTGTGCCAAACCTAACACACTATCCCTTAGTTAGCTATGCCCTGATCAGCCCAGAGGTTGCTTCAAGGTATCAATAAAATTTAAGTTTGAAGGTCACATTAGTGATCCAGCATTGCCGCAAAAAGTTTGCTTCACTATTGACTCCCAGGTAATAGGTATTCATTTCTCTTGTTAAAGCTTGCACCACATAAACGGCACCTTTACACCAGTGAAGTACAAGACTGTGGTATTATCACTCATGTGAAGGTCACTATTTACCCGGATGGTGGAATAAGCCGCCTAAGGTTGTACGGCTATCCAAGAACATGGAATGGACACCAAAAAAACTTCTAAACTCTGAGATGTGCTAATGGCAGAATAACCCTTCCAACCCCTCCCTTGCTTCTAGACCTAAATAGAGATTAACTTGAAATAAATCCATGATATTTTATTAATATTTTCTACATATTAATTTTCTAACAATAATTACTATTTATTTCTAAACTCTTTGTATAATGCGATTGGATCTCCTAAAAAAATGTGAGACAGTTCTTAACTAATACTAGATACTAGTTCACTTCACCCTAATAAATTATTGACCACATTTAAAACTAACTTCTGAGATTGGAAAACAAAAGGAGAAATCAGAATAACGAAGCAAGCCACTCATGGATTTGAGGCTAAGCTCACATACAGTACAGTATAAAATGGATAATCATAATGATCTATAAAATAAGATAGCAGATTCACCTACTGAGAGCTTTAAACTATACAATCTAGTATAAGTAAAAATGGATTTGGATTTCACAAATGTGAGAACATTCTTGCCTAAAACTGGATTCAATTTCACAAAGATTTGAGGCACTATCTACAATTAAGGCAATTTCAAACAAAATTTGGTACAAAGAACAAAAATATGATAATATTCCTGTTTAATACTATTTGTGTACTAGGTACTTTGTTAAAAAGTTGAAATATATAATATTAAAATAATTACCGGTATTGTCATTGTTGTAATACTAGCTAGCTTTCAATGAATTAATTTATAATTAAACCTTGTATCTACATCTAATAAGAATGGTTGTATTATTTTATCAAAACATTAGGCAATATTTTAGTAATATACTGTATTATATATAGAGCTGTTAAGTGTGACGTAATTCGAATGAAAGACGACTTCCCGGTCCAATTTATTAATAACTTATACAGACATTTTTCTGTGTTTTTTCTTCATAGCAAGACTTTCTGTTCATATATCTAATTGTTGAAAGTAGAGAATAAAACCTGGGAATAAGTTGTTGCAAGATTTTAGCGATCTTTTTGTGTGATTGGAGTCGGAAATACGTCACGACTTAAAAAGCCTATAGTTTAATATAGTATTATTCTTAGAGTGGATTTTTATAAACCACGAAACAAAATGTACTAATTAGAGTGTAAAAGTCAGATAAAACACTACAGAAAACAAGAGAATTAGAGTGTAATAGTACTAAATAAGCTAAAGTGCATTTCATGGGTTTATGAAAAACACTCTATTTTTCATTGTGATGAACGATTGATTTTGAAGTGTATTACCTTTTCTTTCCTTTTCTTTTCTTCTTTCTCGGTATTTCTCTCTTCCTTTCTTTCTTTCTTTTTTTTTTTTTTTTCGTGGAAAATCCTCACTGTCTATTTTGTACGACCGACTAATTGGTCTATAAATATGTGTATTAATTAAATATGCAAAATAATCAGAAATTAAGATAAATAATTGTGCATGTCATTGTTAAGTTAATTGTCGGTTTTGCTATGATAAAATATTTTCTTGCGAAGAATTCGAATTTAATTTCCTGGTTGCTTTGCTTGCAACTAGATGCAAGTAATCATACAATATTGAGTAATTACCTTTAAACATATGAACTTTTCTTCTATTCTGAGGTAAATTTATAGGAAAAATGCTAAAACGGGGCTAAAGTGCCAATGACCCCTAACTCACTATTTTCAGCATTGATTCTACATGAAGTGAATAGTCGAATGGTGAAATATTTTTATATGATTTGAGTGATGCATCTTGGATATATCAAAGTTTATACTTCCAGTATGTCAATGATGTGATGTCATAGTAGGCATTTGGGTTTATTTGTCATTATTTTAAAACCAAAACACTGATTACTATGAGAAAACAAATTTGCAATAACCTTTCTATAAACCCTGAGTAAGATAATTATGTTTTATACAGGATATTTTACTACCCCAGTAAATTTTCGTATATTTAATAATGCCTCCTATGACGTCACACTCWTTAGCATACTGGAAGTATAADCCTTGATATCTCCAAGATGCATCACTCAAATCATATAAAAAAATTCACCACTCGACTATTCACTTCATGTAGAATCAATGCTGAAAATAGTGAGTTAGGGGTCATAGGCACTTTAAAACTATATACTCGATGTCGAAAGTATGTCTAATTTGTAACTTTGTCTTTCGGACTCGAGTCTGTCATCTTTTAATAAAATTTTTTAACATCTTTTAATATTAATTTCATCCACCGAGGCGTAGTCATCTAATTGTCAGCTCAAAAGAAAATTTAACGAGAGTGCATTTTAAAACTTCGTGTAATTCATGAGACTAGGCCCTAACTTTCCATGACTAATTTTCGACTTCTTCCTTCAACCTCTTCATTGTGTCTTGCTGGCCAGTAGCCCTTGAGTTTTCCTTTCCTGAGGGCTGCAAGGAAAGCTTTGTTTTCGGGATCATCCTGTAAGGGCTCGCAAGGAACAACAACATTTGTCACACCAGCTTGAATCAGAAGAGGAACGCACTCTCCACAAGGGACCTTGTTGCTGTAGAGAATCGAAGATTTATGATTCATGTTTCTCTTATTTCTCGTCAACAAAGCATTCTGTTCGGCATGGATGACGTACGGTTCTTTTTTCTCGATGGCGCCTTGGTCAGCGGTTGACGCCCTCGGGAATTCTCCATACAGTGCCTTGGCAGGGAAGCCATTCCATCCGATAGCGACAACCTCGCCGTGCACCATAAGGATACACCCTACTGGCTTGGACGGATCGTCGCTTCTCTGTGACAACATCTGGGCCATCCTGACCATGTGAAGAGCATGCCCTTGCCAACTGGGCTCATTTGGCGTTGGAATAATTGGGATGCTTTCGGAGTCTTCAGTGACAAGTGTTTTGTCACCAATGTCACTCTGAGCGGCTGTCTTGAAATACACTCCCTCGAGAGTGTATGGGTCAATCTCCACAAAGACGCTGTCCGGAACGTCACCAATTGTTGCCCTTGCAATCCATTCCATCAAGTTGTACATATCTTTTTGTGTCTGATAATGCATCTTTTTATCGAAAGCAGGCCATTCCAGATCATAACCTGCTTTTCTGACCCACTCTTCACTCCAGTACTCGTCAATGAGTTTTCTTTTATATTCATTTATAGCATCTTCGTTGGGGCGTGCACTACCAAGGAACGGAGACCTTCGTTCTTTTACGCCTTTAATGACATTCTCGCTAACTTTTGGTATAAACACGGAAAGGCCTGTAGACGAAGCCTTTGAATAAATAACAAAACATAAATAAAAAATCAGGAAACCAACATGGATTATTTAAAAACAATTTCACCTAAGGATGATGGTTAAAAATTCTGTCTCGACTTTGATTTTTTTAATTTAAAAATAGTAATAAAATAATAATAATAATAACACATGCAGATAGAACATAAAAATATCATTTTAAAATGTCTTGTAAAAGAAAAAGAAAGAAAAAAATTGGTTTTCATTCTTAAAAACGAAGAAGTTTTACTTTCAGTTTCGTTTTCTCAAGGTCAGTTCTCTAACTTCCTGGAACATAAAGTTACCTGCAGCTGCAAGTATACTTTCTTCCGAAAAAAAAAATTTTTTTTAAGTCCTACCTTGAATAACTTATCCACTCTCTGGACATCCTCTTTGTCATTCAGTTCAGGTTCTATTGGAAGGTAGTAAACTTTAGCAAGCTCGCACTGGACAAGCAGTTTCGCGCAGTACGAACATGGTCGTCTTGACAGATAGACCTGACACCCTTTAGCTCTTTCTTGGCCGAACTTGTTGAGTGCGCTCACCGCTGCGTGAACCCCGTCTTGACTGCAGTCCACGGACAAGGCTCTGTCATTCGGCAGTACAACGACAGCACCGCTTTTATTGCATTTCCTAGGCTCATTTTCGTCCCTTTGTACCGATTCTTGAGTCGCCGGTTTCCCTAGAGCGGATAGATCTTTATAACGTGTTTGAACTTCATCTTCTTGGTTTCTCGACTCGGGTACGAAGCTGTTTGGACGTTCTGCTTGCGGAGATCTTTCCATCATCAAAGCCGTGTTCATAAACATATCCGGCTTATTAATTCTCGGGTGTTGCTTTTCGTAGTGGGAAGACTTAGCGCCTCGAGATTCAGCCATTTTTTTCTAGGTCCGCAACAGATTCTTCGCCAGTTGTTGCCTCAACGAAAACTTTCTTGCGAATGAAGGAAAGCAGCTTCTTTCCAGATATTTTCCTGCGAAATTTAAAGCCCCTGAATTTCACTTTCACTTTTAGAGTTGACTTGTCCTTGCCTGCATATTCCATTCTATATGATTGGTGCCCTTTGAGTTAAATATATCGGGGATTCCCAGAAAAAAATCGAAATCATAAGTTATTGGGTAACATTTTTAGATTTGACTGGCGGATCTGGTCTACGTATAGGCAGGTTCCAAAACATAAAGCATATGATGTCACTGCCGTACGAACTGAGACATCTCCAAAATATATGGTCGATCATTGTTTACTAGGAATGAAAACAGTTTGAATTTAAAATTTACCAGGTATTTTATGAATGAATGTCTCTTTCGCGCTTTACCGTAAGATGATATTCGAAAAGCACGGATTTCCCCCCGATAAATAAGACGAGGCAAAAATTTCATCGATCGTCAGAATCGAATTACTTGAATTATAATATTTGACTTAATAAAAAACATTTCCAAGAATCGAAGGAAGACGAATATTCAGTTGACGTCATACTTAAAACCATCTCGGTTTAAATTATTTCGCTTTCGTTTTTTGAATATAAAATACTGACTTAAAATATTCAGGAAAAAGATGCTTTTAATTAAAATTGCAACTATTCCTTGGGCTTTAAAAAGGCAAGAACTGCATATGAACTAGTGTAATGGTTAACACTTTTCTTTACTACGAATGTACTGATTCTGTAAATAATTTTTTTTAAGCAGGAAAGTGAAATACGAAAGCAGTACTAATTTGCATAATGCTTTTGGTCACTTGATCCTATCACTTTCGTGTACTTGATCCGAACTTGATCCAAGTGAAAATTTCCCAGTTTAAAGAGACGAGGTCACTGTAATAACAGTTTACATAGTCACAGAAATGACACTCAAACCAAAACGTGTTATACATGAATTTTTAATATCACACATTCTTGTTAGGATTTACTTTTTATTTTCTTAATATTTTATTATTTCCAATTGACATGTTACTTATCAATGGTTGATACGTTCTTCTCTTCGCTGTATCGTTAGATCAATCAGTCATCTGGTTATTGGAATAGGTTTCTACGAGCCGATGACTTTTTCGAGCCAAAACACTCAATTTCTCCATTTTCGAAGGCTCTTTTAAAGGCTTTCTTGGAATCGCTTGGACCAGATATTTGACCTTCTCCAATCTGTGGACCTTCAAGCTTGGGAATGACAAATTTCTTGACACCAGCTTGAATCAACAGAGGAACACATTCATCGCACGGGACCTCGTTGATGAAGAGTATGGAAGAGTCGTCGTGGAGGTTTCTGTTCTTTGTCAGTAGGGCATTCTGTTCAGCATGGATAACATAAGGCTCTTTCTTGTTTCTTTCTTCTTCAGTGTTCGATGCCCTAGGGAACTCTCCATAGAGCGCCTTGGCTGGGAAGCCGTTCCAACCAATAGCAGCCACTTCGTCGCCTACCATCAGGACACACCCTACTCTCCTGGTGGGGTCATCGCTCCTTTGGGACAGCATCTGGGCCAGTCTACTCATGTGCAGAGTATCAGCCTGCCATTGCTTGTCACTAGTAGACACAGGCTTCTTATTTTCTTTGCGCTTCCCTAGCCCTCCACTCTGCGTCACTGCTCGCTGTAGTGGTGAGTGTTGAGGAGTGTCATCTCTTGCACTTCCGCTGTCTTCACTTCCGGGTCCACTGCTAGCTGCCTGGTCGATGTTCTCTCCTGGGAGGTTTTGGTCCTTAGGCTTGTGATCTTTATCTTGAATCTCAACAAATATAATATCGTCGGGTACGTCCTTGACAGTGGTAAGTGCAATCCAGTTCATCAGGCTTTTCATGTCACTAGTTATCTGCTCCTTCAAATGCTCGTCAAATGCAGGCCAATTGAGGACATCACCTGCTCTACCCTTCCAGTCATCATTCCAGTATTCCGCCAACAGAACATCACCAAAACGCCCTTCAGGACCTGCCTGACTCCTATTGGTGTACGGAGACACCCTGTGATCAAGGTCTTGCACCACTGATTCTTCAATCCTTGGTACCTTGATTGATAAGCCAACACTTGAACACTGAAATTTCAACAGATACTCAGATCTAGGCAATTACAGTCGATCCGTCCATTTCAATTAAGGCATCAAGCATCTTCCTTTCCCCTCCTTCCCCAAAGCTAGTTTCTAACTGTGTGTAAATCATGCAAGTAAAACGGTGTTCATTAACCATACCTTAAACATGTTATCCACCCTAAGGACATCATTGGCATCATCAAGCTCAGGTTCTAGTGGAAGGTAATACACTTTGGAAACCTCGCACTGCACAAGCAGCTTGGCACAGAAGGAACATGGCCTTCTTGACAGATAGACCTGACACCCTTTAGCTCTTTCTTGGCCGAACTTGTTCAGTGCACTCACCGCTGCGTGAACACCTTCCTTACTGCVGTCAACCGACAAGGCTCTGTCATTCGGCAGTACAAATACAGCACCACTCTTATTGATCTTGATATCTAAAACACGACAAAGGGTGCTTTTCATTTATGATGGAATTTGCTTATTAGCTAGGAAAGTAAGTATATAAATAATTTATCCTTTGTCACTAGCTGATGAAAGGAACTCAGGCATGTCAGAATTCCTGATGGTTCTGCAATGTATGCACAGCTTGAGGTTTTCGGTCAAGAAAAGTTTGCTAGCAACGTTAACTATGGTCGAGATATCTTCAATTAATTCAGGACCCAAGAATTAATACTGAAAATATTGAGTTAGGTGTCATAGGCACTTTAATTTTTTTTTCTTTTTTTCAAGTTCTGTAGTTTCGTTTTTAACTGAAATTCGGTCACCCCCATCCCCCCTCCCCCAATGGCTGGATCCGCTCCTGTGAATTAATGAATGAACTTTATTTATCCACGGTTAACGACTACTCAGTCACACTGCTTTTCAGGCGTGCCGTGCTGATATGGGCCACGAGCCTGACCTTTTGTGTAGCAAGACAGACTTAAAAGAATTTGATCTAAATTGACTATAAAGCTAATCTTACAGACGACTTGCCCAAAAGACTGTTGTTTAGTGATGTGTGAATTGCTAGATAACTCACTACAAACTATCCAGTTGTCGCAAAATATTCTACTGCATATAAAATAAAAACCTTAAGCGACCTACCCTGTTCTTCACTTGCTAAATATTCACTGGGAGACTGAGCGAGTGGCGATCGTTCCATCCATAGGGCTAAAGCCATGAATATATCAGGCTTTGATATGCGAGGCACTTCGTAACTTCTCTCTCGTCTTCCGTTCGCTGCATCTTGGCCAGTTGCGGACCCGGTTGCCGCATTTTGGTCCGCAGAAGCCATTTTCCTAGGTTTCTCGATGCTCTATAAGACTCAATGAACAGTCACTAGAGCGGATTTCTAAGAAACAGTTGTAAGACCATGTGGCGTGGGTTATTTATTAAAACGTACAACTTTCACTTTCTCTTTGTATTTCCTGTTTTTGTTTCGAGTAAGGGAAAATTCCCAATCCCAAGATGCAACAAAGAATTTTACAAGGGAGGGGTGGAAGGGGGTCATTCCTTCATGTATGACTACACGAATTGGCACTATCTTGGGGTTGTGTGTTGTGGTTGTGTTGCATCGTTCGGTGTCACCTTTAGTGATCCGTGTAGGTGCAGCACATGTAGTTGGTGTAATACCCGTAGTACCCGTGGTACCTGTAGTACCCGAAGTGCCTGTAGTACCTGTAGTATCTGTAGTAGGTGTAGTAGATGTAGTACCTGTAGTACCTGTAGTATCTGTAGTACCCGTAGTAGGTATAGTATCCGTAGCACCTGTAGTACCCATAGTACCCGTAGTAGGTGTAGTATCTGTAGTACCTGTAGTACCTGTAGTACACCTGTAGTACCTGTAGTACCTGTAGTACCTGTAGTACCCGTAGTATCCGTAGTAGGTGTAGTACCTGTAGTATCTGTAGTACCCGTAGTAGGTGTAGTACCTGTAGTACCTGTAGTATCCGTAGTACCTGTAGTATCTGTAGTACCTGTAGTACCTGTAGTATCTGTAGTACCTGTAGTACCTGTAGTATCTGTAGTAGGTGTAGTAGATGTAGTATCCGTAGTACCTGTAGTACTGTAGTACCTGTAGTACCTGTAGTAGGTGTAGTATCTGTAGTAGGTGTAGTATCCGTAGTACCTGTAGTAGGTGTAGTATCCGTAGTATCTGTAGTATCTGTAGTACCTGTAGTACCTGTAGTACCTGTAGTACCCGTAGTAGGTGTAGTACCTGTAGTACCTGTAGTATCTGTAGTACCCGTAGTAGGTGTAGTACCTGTAGTACCTGTAGTATCTGTAGTATCCGTAGTAGGTGTAGTACCTGTAGTATCTGTAGTACCCGTAGTAGGTGTAGTACCTATAGTACCTGTAGTATCTGTAGTATCCGTAGTAGGTGTAGTACCTGGAGTATCTATAGTACCCGTAGTAGGTGTAGAACCTGTAGTACCAGTAATACCTGTAGTATCTGTAGTAGGTGTAGTAGATGTAGTATCCGTAGTACCTGTAGTATCTGTAGTACCTGTAGTACCTGTAGTAGGTGTAGTAGGTGTAGTATCCGTAGTACCTGTAGTATCTGTAGTAGGTGTAGTAGATGTAGTATCCGTAGTAGCTATAGTAGGTGTAGTATCAGTAGTACCTGTCGTATCTGTAGTACCTGTAGTATCTGTAGTATCCGTAGTACCTGTAGTATCTGTAGTACCCGTAGTAGGTGTAGTACCTGTAGTATCTGTAGTATCCGTAGTACGTGTAGAACCTGTAGTAGCTATAGTAGGTGTAGTATCAGTAGTACCTGTCGTATCTGTAGTACCTGTAGTAGGTGTACATAGTACCTTTCACGGCAGCCATGTTGATGGGTAGAATTAATAAAATTGTTCATTCTATTGTTGAATTCATTTTAATTTCGTTTTAGGAATGAAATTTGATTTTCCTTACTCTGAAACATGCCCTGCCTTACTGGGCGCGTCACCAGTAGCGTTCATTTTACCTATCAAGGCGTACGCATATAGACTATAATAACTCAAAATAAATAGGTGAAGAAAGACTTATAATCATACTTTAGTTTATTGTTTTCTTTTTAAT